TCGTGTTCGGCTCGTTTACATTTCGAGCTTAAAAAATTGTTCGTGTTCGGCTCGTTAGGCTTAACGAACGAGCCGAACACGAACTGCTTAACGAGCCGAACACGAGCTGTTCACGAACAACTAGCCAAATTGACAGCCCTACGAATGCATTCATGTAATATATTTATAAATATAGCACATAATTATTATATATTTATATATCTAACATCTAATAAAATATCATTGAACTTTTTAGCAGTTAAAATAAGATAATAATTATATTTTTTTAAGTGATGTATAATATTTTTATATAAAAATGTCACTTATCGGTTTTATAATTCTGTTTGCATATTAATTATTAGTGCTTTTGAAATAGTAGTGTGGTGTCACGCCGCACTTTATGTTATTTGGCAGATTTGTGTTACATTATTATTTCAAAAAACTGTGATGGGAATTTATATTTTGCTACATTACTGTAATGAGTGTGATGGTGGCAAGAAAGTTTTGATTGTACTTTTTTAAGAGAAAAATGTACGATCGTTGTAATAATTTTAGCTGCAGTTTCATGGTTGTTTATTCAAACAGCTACAGTTCTTCTAAACATACTCTATGTTAGTCTATATTGTGAGAATTTCTTAGCCAATAGTTCATGTAAAAATTCTTTGTGCGTTTGTTAAGTGACGATAATTATAATAAAGGTTGTTAGCACGTAAGAATCTCAACTTTCTACTTGAGCTTCTCACATCAACATGTTTTACTAACATTCAAATATTAATATAACACAAGTTATAATAATAGTTGTTAACATGTTATGTAACATTCAAATGGAACTTTAGCTTGAACTTGATTAATTAATTAGTCTCAAGTTCTTGCACTACCGATCCCCCAAAGCAACAAAATGATGGTCTCACATCAACATGTTTTACTAACATTCAAATATTAATATAACACAAGTTATAATAATAGTTGTTAACATGTTATGTAACATTCAAATGGAACTTTAGTTTGAACTTGATTAATTAATTAGTCTCAAGTTCTTGTACTCCCAATCCCCCAAAGCAACAAAATGATGAACTCATTTAGGCCTCATTTGAGAATGTAGCGAAGCTTTGATTCACTGCAGCGAACACAAATGTTTGGTTTTGCTTTTGTTTGGTGAAGTAGCGTCTTCCATAGTTATTTCACCATAATGAATTTTTTTTGTCGTTTTAGATCGTATATGACAATATCTGTTCCACTTACATGACTTTTAAAGGAATTTCGCTAAACAACAAAGCTCTTTCCTTACACTAACACAAATGTTTGGTTTTGCTTTTGTTTGGTGAAGTAGTGCCTTCCATAGTTATTTCACCATAATGAAATTTTTTTGTCGTTTTAGACCGTATATGACAATATCTGTTTCACTTACATGACTTTTAAAGGAATTTTGCTAAACAACAAAGCTCTTTCCTTACACTGTGAAAGTTGCAATAATGATTTTATGAGTTGTTTTATCCAAAAATAAAAATAAAAAAAAAAAATTAGCCCTGCGTTTATTAGAAAAAATAGAAGGAAATGCTAATCAACGTAGAAGTATCACACATCTAGATCCCAGAAGGGATTGTGCCTCCTCTTAGAAATTGTTCAACGAGTTTAACTTGAGCCCATAAAAATTAGGATTGATTATGCGGGGCCTAAAGGCCCGGCAGCCCAACAACCATAAAACGTTCAATCGCACTTCGATCTCCTCCGGCGTAACGGCGCAGGAAAGTAATGCTAGGTGCCTTGGCGGAGAGGGTATTATATTACAATTAAAAATTATATCAGCACCCTAATTACCTATATTAATTAACCCTATTGAATACCAAAAATTAAATACTTCAAAGCATGACAGAATAAAATCTTACACGTGACGCATTGTGGTTAGAATCCTGATATAATTTTTCATCATCCTAACTCATGACGTAATATTTTTACATCTTGACAGACAAAAATTAAATCAATAAAATTAATCTCAAATTTCTTACAAAATAATTATATTTAAATATTAACCTATAAAAATATTTTTTAATTACAGGCAATAAAATCAGACTTTATTTATTTTCAACAAAATGTGCAATTGATTATCGAGGGTATGCTAGGGGGTTTGGTGTTCTTGGGCGCCCCTAGAAAAAAAAAAAAATATATATATATATATATATATATATATTGGAAAAATTAGGCCGCGGCTCAAAAGATGCCACCGCACATAGAGTGAGGAATGGTCTGGAAAAGCTGATTTCAACAGTTTGAAAACGCAGCTTTTTGAATAAACTGCAAAATGCAATTTATCCAAACCATTTCGGGTGAGTTTTCAAAATTAATGCACCAAATAAGCTACCCCAAATGGGCCTATGGATGAAAATTAACTTTGCCATTAGAATGAATGACACGAGATTTTAGCTGTCTATAAAATAATTGTGTGTATATTATGAAAAAAATTATAGTGTGAAAGTTATTTTTGATTATTTTGAAAAAGAAAAAAATTTGCCCCGTTATGAAATAGCGATAAAAAATTATAATAACTGCTATACTCAAGATTATAAAATAGTTGTGTGTATATATATGATATAATTGAGATATTACATTTCTAATTTATATGTATGTATGTATATGAGTGTGTGTGTGCGCGCGCGCGCGCTTGCCACTGTTGAATTCAAATCTCTCCTCTAAGGCATGCCCCATGATCGAACAAGTAGAAATTAGAGCAGAGAGAGAGATAAAGAGGTAGGGAGAGAGGAAGAACACGCATTGAATTGCCCTGTAGTGGCGAACCGGGTTATTCTCAAGCATTTGTAACCCATATATATAAAGAGAGAAATTTCATATGCGAGTATGGGATTATATTAAAGAGCCAAAAGCTAACTCCCTAATTTTAGAAGATAAATGGTTACTACGAAAGAAATTATATATTTACTCGTACTTTAAGGAAGATATTACAGGATATTAATGTTTTTTTCGTATTCTCAACTGATTTTGGTGTACTTTGTTGTTTTCGGATTCTTTGCAAGACAGATTCTTTATTCGGTTGGCCGAGATGGTGCCAGTCGGTTATTTCGCCTACGTGTTGGGTGATTTTTGTCATTTGGGAGCTATTCGGGTTCGAATGTATTAGTCGATCGGATCTGGGTGGCCAGTCAAGGATGGCTGATCGGTTAGTCATGAGTGACTGACCTAGAATACTTGACTTTTTATATGAATGGCGGGTTTCAGACATAAGTGGCCATAGGCCTTTTGCTCGTGACCTTCGGCCAAACATTAGCATTATTTCTTGTCCATTAAATTGCTTTAGAACCCTGCAAGCCATTTCTTGTGCGCCTAACCACCATAAAAAAATATGGGCATTTACATACATGACACACAGTTCTCATGCATTTACATATCTCACACATAGACATTCATATTTAGATACCAATTATCAATGCTTAAAAATGTATATTTCATTTTTTTTTATTTAACAGTATTTTTATGTGATATATGAGATTTTAAAGGTATAAATACAAAAAATAAATTTTAAATATCAGGTATCTAAATATATTAGAATTGATTGGTATATATGTAAATGCCCCCATAAAAAATAGTGGCATTTACATACATAGCACACAATTCTTATACATTCACATATCTTACACCAAGACCTTTTAAAAATGGATATAATTTTTATATAAATATGAAAATTTAGTTGTGAAACATGTAAATACATAAGAATTGTGGGTTAGAAATGTAAATCTCACAATATATATATATATATA